CTTTGTTGTCCATGTCCACTGGTTATGCGTACATGCATATAAGTTCTGTGGTTTATCTCTTCTCTTGTTGGCTCTTTAAATTTTACATCCGATAGGAGTGTCTTTTTTACTTCAGTCTGGTCCCAGCCCTGCTCAGCTGTGTTTAACTGCGTTCATAGCTCACCGCTAGTCCATTTATATGTGACTTCTTCAGCCTGGAGTTCTTGATTCTGCATCTTTCCATTATATGTTGGCCTGTGTCCTCAAGGAGTTTCCCACCCACCAGAATGGGGGATATTTTCTGAGTCTTCTTCAGTGCTGGCTGCTGAAAAGAAATACAGTGTAGAGTGTAAGAGTCTGGGCCTGGGGCCAGGCTGCCTGGGATTTCATCTTAATTCTGCCACTTCGCTGGCTCTGTGTGCCTCTGTTCCTTTATCTGTCAATTGGGCATAATAGTAGGCCCCACCTCATGGGTTGTCATGAGGATTAGATGTGTTAACACACGTGAATTGTGTGCAGTAGTCCTTGGCACCCAGCAAGAACTCAAGAAACGTGGTCTCTGTTTTAGCAGAGGAAAGATCCTTCCGCCGAGGACAGCGTTACCCACAAGCCCCTCCCCACGGCCCCCAATCTGTACACTTGTTTGCAGTCTTCTCTTCATCTATTGGCCTTCTGGCATTTAGTGTTGTAGCGAAACTCAAGACTAGCTTTGTTTGTTTCCCCCTCCTTTAAGACAAGTCTAATTTTTTTCTGCCTTAACGACTGGAAAGATTTTCTCTTGATTTCTGTTACTCAAAAATGTTGCCAAACTTCATGAGCTAGGCATTCATTACACTGTTCTGTCTGTCTGTGTTTGCATGTGTTGGAGACTTCAGTCACCAGAAGCCTAGGAAAATGTTGCCAAGCTTTGGCTGGAACCAGGCCTGTTATAGCAGCACCCGCAGCCGCTCTTCAGCTCGGGCTGTTTCTGTACTTCCCTGTTGCTTCTTGTTTCCGTTGCACTGATCTGATCTCTACCCTTCAGCGTCTCTTAGGTCTCTGTTGCGCACTGTCTCTGTTATCTCCTGTCTGGTTGCTGTCTTTATGCCTTTGTGACTGCACAGTGGTAGACCTTCCTTATCTTTTTTCCCCTCTCACCTGAGGATATTTTCCCATCGATTTTTAGATAAAGTGGGAAGGAGGGAGGGAGAGAGAGAAACATTGATGTGAGAGAGACACATCAATTGGTTGCCTCTCACATGACCCCGACAGGGGCCGGGAATTGAACCTGCAACCCAGGTACGTGCCCTTTTCTGGAATCGAACCCATGACGCTCCAATCACTGAGCCAAACTGGCCAGGGAGCACTTCTTGTCTTCACAATGCTCCTTACCTCACGTTCTACAGTGTCGAGTCTGCTTTTTTGTAGTTTCAGTGTTCCTTTTCTACTAATACTGATTTCGTTTCCCTGCATTCCCTAGTGCATGCATCTCCTTTTCCACCTCAGCCTGTTTTCTTCTTCTGACCTGCTGTGCTTGTTTCATAGAGGCTGCCTTACCCTGTATTGTGCTGCGGGCGCACCTGTCCTGATGTTTTCTCTGACACCTTACGTTCGACATTTCAGAGATACGGCCTTCCTAGAAGACCTCTGGGGACACAGCTGTTCTGTACAATCCGTCTCATCCACTCTTTGTTAGAATTTTCCTCCTTCATCCTCCTATGAGACCTGTCTCTCCAGACTCCCAAATCAGTGCTTATTTATTAGAGCAGCTGCCGTCATCTGGGATGGGCTTGTCTCCTGTCCTCACTCACTGGATCTTTGAGGCTCTGTGTCCACAGAATATACAGAATACTACATGCCCCAGCATGCATTGCTATCTTCATCCTCCTGTCCTGGTCTTTTGTCTATTCCAGGATGCAGAGTGTCGCAGCCTGGCCACCCTCTGTATCTTGCTCTGGTGTCTCCCGGGTTATCATCTCTGAATGGTGGTGGAATGGAGGGTAGGGAGGGGCAGCGTCGAGGTGTGGGAGTAATGGAGGGAACACTGTCCTGATTCCCTAGGCAAGCAGATCTCATTTTCTCCTCGTGCTTTGTAAGCTTTCGTAATTAATCTAGAGGACATGTATGATTTGTGTAATGAAACAAAGTTTAAACAAAGTGGTACCCCTGTATTTATGAGACAGCTACTCAGTATTTAAGATCTGAATGCAACTTCAGCAAGAGTTGGTCAGCAAGACAGTAAGAAGTATCTTTTTACCTTCCATATGGCAAATTCTGCTGTCTTGAACCCAAGTCTGGTCTTAGGTCATCCTGCACCCTTTGATTTTGGTGGTGTGAGTTTTCATCTATTTTAACTGACATCAAGGACTGATGTATGGAAGCCTTTTTTGCCATTAAAAAAGAATCATGGTAAAATATACATATCAAAAAATTTACTGTCGACCATGTTTAACCACCACAGCTCAGTAGTATTATATACATTCACGTAGTTGTGTAAGCAGTCGCCAGAACTCTCTCCATCTCACAGAACTGAAACTCTGTACCCAGTAAACAATGACTGCCTGGCCCCGCCGTCCCCAGCCCCTTGCGGCCACATTCTACTTTGTCTTGCTTTTTGCCATTTTTTATGTTTTAACTTTTAGGAGTTTGTAAATGCACATATTTTTTTTTTTGAAATTTACTACCTCTGAAAAATATTAATAGTTATTCATTCATTCTGCACATATTTCTATAAAAATTTTTTCTTTATATATTTTAGAGAGAGGAAGGTTGAAGGAGACAGAGAAACATCGATGAGAGAACATCGATTGGCCGCCTCCTGCATGCTCCCCACTGGGGATCGGGCCCACAACCTGGGCATGTGCCCTGACCAGGAATAGAACTGGGGACCTCTTGGTGCAGGGGTCGACGCTCAACGACTGAGCCACTCCAGCCGGGCGATTCTACACATATTTATTTAGCACCCTTTGCTAGACCAGCAGGTTCTAGGGATACAGGCATGAACAAGGGCCGTATGTCCCTGCCTTCAAGGAACTGACTGTCTAGGGAGGAGAGAAAGACGCTAGACAGATAAATGAGCAGGGTGAGCTCCGATTGTGCTAAGAGTGTGAAGACAGTAGGCACACAGACTGGTATGACAGGGAGTGCCTATAGGTGCTGCTCTGCCCAGCAAATTCGCAGGGGGCTTTGCTGAGCAGGTGACATTCGGGCAACCCCTGGATTTATGCAGGGACACGGCTCTCCCCCACACAAGACTGGAGGGATGGCACACCGAGCAGAAGGGACAGCACGCGCAAAGGCTCTTGGCCGGAGCGAACTTGGCTCACTGAGCAATGGACAAAAGCATCAGCAGGGCTGGAGGACGGTGAGCAGTGGGGAGAGAATGAAATGAGCTGGGCAGCCTCGCAAGGCAGGTGCTTCCCACTGCGTTTCAGTTGCAGTGAGAAGCCGCTTGAGGCTTTGCAGCAACAGAGTTATATGACGTAACACTCAACATTAAAAAAAGATCTCTAGCCCTGGCCGGTTTGGCTCCGTGGCTAGAGCGTCAGCCTACGGTCCAGAGAGACCCGGGTTCGGTTCCCGCTAAGGGCATGTCCCTCGGTTGCAGTTTGTCCCCGGCCCTGGTTGGTCGTGCGAGTGGCAGCCACTCGATGTGTCCCTTTCACATCGATGTTTCTCTCTCTCTCTCTCTCTCTCTCTCTCTCTCTCTCCCCCTCCCGCTCTATCTGAACAAAAAATGGAAAAATGTCCTCGGGTGAGGATAAAAAAAAGATCTTTGCACAAATATATGTTGGCTTGGATAATGTTGAACACACCAACACACAATGGCCTCTGGAATACTGTGTTCATCAGCCAGATTCCCTCCTGGTGTTACCAGTTCAGGATACTTGTAGATTTCTCTATGAGTAACTCGAATGAAAAGGCTGATGCATATGATTACTTTATGGGTAGAACATCTGAGCTGCTGAATGGCTGAGTTCCAGGTCACACGAGCCCCCCCCCCCCCAGCCTACCATGTCACCATCACGCACCCCTACATTTACACTCAGAAGACTCTTCAGAGAGCAGGTCAGCTGAGCTGGAGCCCCGGTCTCATTCTCATAGCGGCATTGCTATTAAAGGGGTAAAGGTCAGTCCTGTCTCCAGTAGCAAGGACGTACAAATATTCTATGATAATATGACTCTTAAAAAAATATCAGAGTTAGAAAGTCTTTCTTTTTCAAGGATTGGGGGAGGATTAGAAAAATGCTTTTTGTTGACCAGCGTGGTGTTTATAAAAGTATCTCGCTAGAATGGGACGACCACCTCTGTGGCCGGTGATGGGGCTTCCACACGGGCTGCATCACACGGCAGAGGTGGCCACCTTTTCTGCGCTGTGGCCCTCATGTCAGGTGACATCCCCGTCACATTTTGAGCAGCCCACTTTTGATAACATTCGATCTTTGTTTTTTTAGTGTAAACATTAAACAACTTTTTTGAGTTAAAAAAAAAACATAAGAGAAGCACCTTTAAGAAAATATGGCTTTTGCCCTGGCCAGGCGGCTTAGTTTGCTGGATCATTGTCCTGTACACCGAAAGATTGTCGGTTTGATTCCAGGTCAGGGCACATACCCAGGCTGAGGGTTTGATCCCCGGTGGGGGCACATACAGGAGGCTCACATCAGTGTTTCTCCCCCTCTCCCGCCCTTTCTCCCTCTTCCCCTTCCTCTCTCTCTCTCTCTCTCTCAAATCAGTAAACGTATCCTCGGGTGAGGATTAAAAAAGAAAACATGGCTTTGGTAAAAAGTGAATTGTTTGTGCCCACGGACGAGGAGAGAAAGGGCCTGTGGTGATTCCGAGACTGCCAGTCCACGAAGCTGGGTTATAAATAGAATCTGCACGTGGTACTCATTCAAAACGATCTCCGCTTCAGTTCACCACGGTCCATTCAAAGGCGGGTCCGTTTCAAGTCAGTCTCTGTGTACAGCGAGGTACAAATATTTCTTGAGCTATAAATGTTTAATTTGGAAACTACTTGGCATCAATCTAGGTCTTTATTTCAGAAAACACCCTGGGATGGCCCGGGCCCAAGTCACATTCCACAGAGCAGCTGAAAAATGGGACATTTGGCTCTTTGCCACCAGCCAGTGCCAACATAACCTGGGCAATTTTACCAAACTCCGCTGAAGACGACCAGCCCTTCCAGCCAGAGCCAGAGGTAAGCGAGCACTTCTCCTAGCCCTTCCTGGCCTGTGTTTCCGCTTGTTTAGAAACGTAGTAATGATATTTGTAACTTGCTCATCTCTCCGTTTGAAGGGGAGACAAACGATAACGCGCAGCACTGCCTGGAGAGACAAAACCAGCCCTGTGCGCGCCCGGCACGTCCGCCCTCGTGTCTGGCAGCCGCCGTGGCGGACTTGTGATCCTACCAATGAGGACTCTCTCATTTTCATCGAAATGGGAGTCATTTTAACTTCACGCGGGAGAAATTGTCATACACACCTATGAAAATGATGCCTGTTGACACGATGGGAGCAGTTACAATATATTCTGTCAGTCCCCTGAATAATGGCTTCTGTGTGCGGTTCGTGCTGAAGATCCTGCCTCTCACGCTCGACTCCCGCATGCGACAGACCCGGGCCGGGGTGGGGCAGAGGCTGGGCCTCCTGCTAGGAGTTGCGGTGCAGCCCAGTCCAGGCTGCAGGGAACACCTGCCTGCTCGGGGAGGGGCAGCCCCTGACGGTCTCAGTGACCAGCGGGCTCTGGTGGCCTCATGGACAGTCGTCTGCCCACGTGGCTCCCCTAACAGTGCATCTGAGTGGCCGCTGGCGGGAAGCCAGGTGCAGCATTTCCTTTCGTCAGTTTCACTTTGCATCAGGAGTGAATTTTGTTCTTTTCTTCTCCTTGTGATGCCCGTGTCCTCGTGACATGATTGCGTGGCCTGGGCTGAGACCCACTTTCACCGTGTGTTAGAGGTTAGTCTTGATTTTCATTGAAAGCACGTTAGCCTGAAAATTGTAGGACGTAACAAAATCTATTCTGTAAGGTTGAAAGCCTAGGGCAGCTTCTTCAATCAGACGGTCTTGGTTATCAGTTGAAATTGTTCTCCAGGCTTCACAGGATTGTAAGTCTTGGTAGCTTAGCTCTTAAAGAGTGGGATCAACCTGCCTGCAGATTTCATCACTATCGATACGGTGCCTTTGCAGGGGAAGAAATGAATAGGGAAGGTGGGATGTTGAAGGCATTGGCCTCTACCTGTGCAGTGAGTTGCAGGTGGAAAACACAGCTGATGTGTAGGTAAACTGGAAGGTAAGTTGGCAACTGAGGCAATTTTAGGAGGCCCACTGTTAATATCACTATTTTGGGATACTTGGGTGGGGTGGCATTTGAGGATAGGGTGCTTTGCTGCTGCTGTTGAAAAATACAATTCCCGCCCTGGCCGGTTTGGCTCAGTGGTTAGAGCGTCGGCCTGCGGTCCACAGAGACCCGGGTTTGGTTCCCGCTAAGGGCACGTACCTCGGTTGCAGTTTGTCCCTGGCCCTGGTTGGGTCATGTGGGTGGCAACCACTTGATGTGTCCCTTTCACGTCGATGTTTCTCTCTCTCTCTCTCTCTTCCCCTCCCTCCCACTCTGTCTGAACAAAAAATGGAAAAATGTCCTCGGGTGAGGATAAAAAAAAAAAAAAGAAAAATACAATTCCCTTTATTCTCTTGTTTAAGAACCTTTGGGGGTTCACACCATAATGCACATATTTAAACTCTGGAGGAAATTTGGAATAGGGAAGTAAGTTATTAGATCTTAAGTAATAATTGTTTTAGATCCTCACTCTGCAGCAAGACCTAACAGGGGCTGTGATCTAATAAGCTAACTAACCAGGGCTGGGGTCTTCCTTATTCTGTGACTCCTCCTTAGCGTTATGGCTCTTCCCCGAGGGGTGCTTCCTCCAACCCTGAAGTTTGAGAGGCCAGTTCTGTTCTTTTTACATGACATCGTGGCCATGTGGCTTTGCCCGTCAGTAGCATCGGCAGGAGACAGTGTATACTTGTCCATAAGGAAAACACTGGCTCCCAACTTTAACTTCTTTAAAAATACCCTGAACAAGAACGAGGGAGAGCATTTGCCCCTTAGGTTAGAAACGAGCATTCATTTCAGGTCGTCATGTTTGCCCTGACCTTTGTTGCAAAAGCAAAATAAGACCTTGTTTGTAAGGACTTGCTGGGGGGGTGATGGGGTGGTGATGGTTTTCTGAGGAGAGAGATGTCGAGTTCTTTTGCAGACTCCCCTCATTTTTTTCAGTGACAACTCTGGGAGACGATTCTCGCAATCCAGCTAGTGTTGCCTGGATGCTGTTTTTATCTTAGGGGATTGTGCTTTGTTACTTTTTTTTTTTCCCTTAAGAGTTAAAACACCTAGCAATATCCACGCAGTAGTTTCCCTGTCAGAAAAAGAAAAGTATTTCCATTGCCTTTGTTTTGTACCTTTTTGAGAAATAACCTAAGAAGGAGGTGAAACTCCAAAAAGCTGAAACTTCTTTTTGAGAAGGTTCCTTAACCCTTTGACATAGAGCGTATAGTTATTATTTGAGTGATCATTGGGAGACTACGATTGTAGTTATTGTGATACTTTAGCTAATTTTTTTTGTTTGGTTTATTATTTTGATCATGTTAGGTCTTTAGGAACAATACTTAGAGCAGCTGTTCTCAATCCGTGGGTTGTGACCCCTTTGGGGGTTGAACGACCCTTTCACAGGGGTTGCCTAGGACGTAACAGTAGCAAAATTACAGTTACGAAGTAGCAACGAAAATAATGTTATGGTTGGGGGTCACTACAACATGTGGAAATGTATTAAAGGGTCGCGGCATTGGGAAGGTTGAGAACCACTGACTTGGAGATGAAAGATACCTCCTCTCTGCGGGTGTGTGTGTGTGTGTGTGTGTGTGTGTGTGAGTGTGTGACACCACCAGCAATAAACTCAGTCCAGTTCTCATTGGACACAGCCTGGGAGTCCTACAATTCACTCCATTCTGACAGCGCCTCCCTGGAGACAGCATTCGGTCCCCAAGTCAGGGCCCAGCCCTGCCTGCCTGCCCGCCCCACGCACACTTCAGGGACCGGCCACAGGTTCAGCGTCACCCGTGCTTCCGACCAGCCGACGGCCCTCAGAGGCTTCCACCGCCCCTTCCTGGGGTTTGCTCATTTGCTGGGTTGGCTCGCAGACTTCAGAGAAGGATTTACCTGTTTATTATAAAGGATATAATTCAGGAGAAGATGGAAGAGATGCAGGGGGCAGGGTGTGGGGAAGGGTGTGGAGCTCCCCGCCCCCTCCACGTGGGCCACTCTCCAGAGCTTCTTCAACCAACCCAGAAGCTCTCTGTACTTTGGGAGGAGCGGGGGTCGGAGGCTTCATTACATTAAATCATAGGCCCTTAGTGACGGAACTCCATCTCCAGCCCCTCTCCCCTCCCCGGCGGTCAGGGGCGGGATTGACAGTCCTGGCTGGCGTTGACAGCCATTCCCCACCCTGAGGTTACCTAGGCGATCACCAGCAGTTGCCTCCGGAACAAAAGATACCTTCTCTCTCTCATCTTAGGAAATTCCATGGGCTTTTGGCATCTCTGCCAGGAAAGCAGACAAAGACTAAATACATATTTTTTCTTATTATAAATCACAGTGTCACACTCCCCACCTCTGGGTCTGGCTTACCATAAAATAACTTGCAGGTGTCTGGAAAATTAATGCATTTTCAAGATTAGTTGGTTTAATTCCCAGCAGAATAAAACTCAAAGACCAGCGTGTACTGAAAGCGGGAGCTAGAACCGTGGCTGGCTCTGTGTGGATGCAGGGACCTTGCCTTTCTGTCCTGCTGGAGCTGAACGAGCTCGATGCGAAAGTGAAACATTCTCCTTAATGAAATGAGTCAGCATCTTGGCTTTACCCGTTTGTCGTGTAATTTCTCAACTCTCTTTACACCGTTTGACATTTTGAGTTTAAACAAAAAAGGTTTTGGTTTGCTTTCTTTGTGGAAGAATGCCTTGTTTCCGGACGGGAAGAGCTGGGATTGGGGAGACTCTGAGATTAGGAGTTGGGACCTCATTCCGCCCTCCTGATTGGGAACCTAATGGCTCCATGCTCCAGACTTGCTTGCAGCCTGGCTTCCAAGTGCACTTTGTGTGAGATTTGGAAGCCTGAGACGGAGACACACCCAGCTCCTTCTGGGGTGCTGCTGGCAGACAAGGTCACGGGGAAGGGGGTGTTCAGAGGCAGTGGCAGTGGCCAGACTCAGTGTCCTAGGACCTTAGTCCCACTTGCGTTGGCAGAAGCTGTTGTGGGGGCCGCTGCTTCCCAGCATTTGGCTCATGGCTCCTACGGTGGTGTGTCCTTGAATGAGAATGTCTGAGGGGACTTCTCCTCCAGATCTTTTAGTGATTCCCAAATCAGATCCCTTTCATGCTGCAATACCTGGAGTGGTTCTGTTCCCTGGGCTGGGTGGTGATGGCCGGGTTGTTGGAATAGCAAGGCCGAGGCCACGTGGAGAGAATCCAGCCGCCCTGCGGACACACCTCTCTGGAGGGTGTCTCAGAGGGACAAAAACCTTCATTTTTCATTTTTTTTTTTTTTTTTTAATCCTCATCCAAGGACATTTTTCCACTTTTTGTTCAGATAGAGTGGGAGGGACAGAGAGGAAAGGAGAGAGAAACATCGACGTGAAAGGGACAGATCGGGTGGCTGCCTCCTGCACGACCCAACCAGGGCCGGGGATAAACTGCAATCGAGGTACGTGCCCTTAGCGGGAACCAAACCCGGGTCTCTCTGGACCACAGGCCGACGCTCTAACCGCTGAACCAAACCGGCCAGGGCTCTTTTTTTTTAAATACAATGTTTTATTTTATTTTATTTATTTATTTTTTTTGGTACGTGCCCCTAGCGGGAACCGAACCCGGGTCTCTCTGGTCCGCAGGCCAACGCTCCAACCGCTGAGCCAAACCGGCCAGGACCCTCCATTTTTCTTAAAGTTCAGGTTCATTGAGGTGTAATTCAGAAATCATGAAATTTGCCCTTTTAAAATACATTTTTATCACTTTTAACAAATCAAAGCCTAGGACAGTTCTAGCCCTTTCCAAAATCTCCCCGTGTGCCTGTGTCGTCAACTCCTCCGCCTCCCCCGGACTCCGCTCATGTTTTCTATCAATTTTACCTTTCTCAGAATGTCCTGTACAT